TTAGCTCCGTAAAACTCAACCAGCAGCCACATGGTGTCCAAACATGGAGCAGCCAAGAATACTATTGTATTCTTGGCCGCTGAATGAGGAATGAGGATGTCCCAAAAGTTGCAGCAAAGCATCCGAAAACTGAATCCCTCTTCGACCTGAAGACGAATATATTCCGACGTTGCAACAAAAATGAGAATTAATATTAACCGAACGAACTTTACTACTACCTGTTAAGTCCTCGCAAAAACCACTGTTTTTTGCAACGATTTTTAAACCCAATTTTCTATCTTCCCTTTTTTCTTCCTCTTTCTGATATAAAGCCTTTCTTTTTTCCACTCAAGTTTGGTGTTGTCCTGTTTTCTCTGGTCGTGTCGCGCCAATGCTCTTATTTTCTACAGAGAACAAATTATTGCTCACATAAATTCAAAGGGTATAAAAACCCGCATCATATATATATATATATATATATATATGCGTATATATTGATATAATAGGAAAGAACTGTTAGATTGATGAGCCAAAGTTCTTTAGTATTTTTGTCTTTATTTAAAAAAAAAAAAAAGAACAGTGCTCGATACACAAATAGAGCCTAGATTATAATTATTATTTAAAAAAAAATATAATTCCATCGCGAAACAGAAATTACTGTGTTTCGAAAAAGGCCAGCAGTATATAAGTTTAATTCCAATATTAAACCTTAACTACTGGGTGGGAGTTTCATCCTCAAGCCTTGTTTTGGAATAACTATTGTATGGAATGTTCATTTATAGTTTTGAATGGAGTTTTGAATATTCGCCTTAAATAATTAGCATTAAAATCTATTAACAAGTTCAATTAAAGCAACAGGTTTAATAACACAACCCAATCATAATCTTAAAGCCCCTTTAAGAATTCGTGAACAAAATCAAATAAATATATATAATTGTGTATATATATATATATATATATTTCTATTTTTTTACAGCATTTTTGTCGATAGGTCCAAGTTAGAAACTACCTTTTGAAACTTTGGTCATGTTTTCTCCCTCTGATCTTTTAAATATTCCCTTTCTTCAATGGAAACCTGCAATTTCAAAATGTGCATGCGTTTAATAACTGATCTAGCATAGTAAATATTAAGCAAAATATCACAATATTATTTTTACCAGAAAAAAAAAAAATTATTTACCAGAAAAAAGGAAAATTATCAGACTTAAATTACGTAGGTACCTCCATGAGATCGCTAAAAAAGAACATAGCATGACGAAAATGACGCCAAACTTGACGAAAACAAAACTTTATTGTCTAAATGTTTATGTTATTATTGAAAGGAAAGATCAAAGTATTGGGGGTATTTTTTACATTTTTTAATCGTTCCTAGCACGTCAAAAATTTTCGTTAAAAATCTTGTTTTTTTTTAATTGGAAAACTTGACAGATAATCAATCATGTCAACTATTTTTTTCCATTTTATAAAAAAAATGAAAATCTCAGTTTGAAATTCCTTTAAAAATCAATTATAATTTTTTTTTAAATTATTTTAAGAAAATCAGAAATTATAATGTTTATTTAAAATATTTTGAAAAAAGCATTGTTTAGTTTCTGCGCCGAAAAGATGTAGTTTGAAAATAAAACAAAGTAGGTCATAACATTTTGCGTCACTTGACAGGTGACGAATGACAATTTCATTGTGTATTGACAGCTTACGCGAGGATAAGTTTTTCTACGGAAAGAGAGAAGTGAAATTCTTTAGATTTAAGTGAACAAATTATTTACCTCGTTATTTTTAAGGAATTTTCAGCGCTCTATTTTTTTTTGTACTTAGCTTTCACCTTTACGTTTACGATGCTTTATGGAAATATATATATAAAGAAATTATATATAAATATATAATAATATAATATATTATTAAGAAATTAAAATAAGACTGTTGAGAGTAAGATTAAATTTCATTAGAAATGTATCTAATTAATTTATAGGTACCTTTCTTATGAAATTTTATCAGAAGTGTACATAAAATACTATAATTTTATGTACATTTATTACATTTTACTGTGTTATTTGTATTTCCATTCATTTTATTATTAATTTTGATATTTAATTTATAGAAAAAATATCATAACTGAGATTAATAATTATACTTGAACAAATTGAATGAAGAAACAATGTCATCATTGGGTTTCAATTCTAAAATTGAAACAGAAACTAATAAGAAGTGAAGTATGAATCACAAAGCACTGTCATTGAAGCATTATCATTCATTGAAACAAAAAAAAAGAATACATAAAAATTTATAGTGGTATTTTGATAAATAAATGGATGATGACAAAAAAAACAGTGCTTAGTGGGGAATGTTTTTTGTTTTGTTTTTTTTTTTGTTATTTCTTATTTATAAGAAAAAATATTTAAATGAAATGAATTAAAATCTCAGTGAAGACAATTATCAAATTCAAAAAATATATTGAAAAAAGTAGCTATATAAAAAAAAAATAAAAACAAATCAAATGATACTTACTTTAATTTCTGTATGAAAATGAAGTCTGGTAATGGAAAAATTGAAATAAGACGACTCACTGAAAACTGTAAAACAACTTCACAAAATTGAAATTGCAATGAAATATGTAAATGAAATAAATGGTACTTTTAAAAATGTAGTAATGTTGCTGCTGAAAATGGCTTAGGATGGTGTTCAATTTTTTTTAATTAGTAAAAACGCTAATTCAAAATGCTCAGCATGTTTCGCACGAAGAATTTGCAATAATGAAATGGACGTTCAGCGGAGAACGCTTACACTCAAGCCACGTGACGTTTTATTGCTTGTGACATTCCGTACCTTTTAATTACAGCCATTCTAACGATTTATTATGCACAAAAAATTACAACGGGTCTTCCGATTGGACGAAGCGATACAATTTACAAAGCGCTAAAAATGATCTATTTCATAAAAACATGTACGAAAGTGAATGCGGCTTTCAACTACTTTTATAATATTTTAACTAACAACTTAAATATAAAAATCTAAAATAATTAAAGAAATAACAAATAATTGTATTAAAAATTCATTTTTCATCGAAAAAATATTTTGCTTTCAGAAAATATTGTCCATATTCATAAAAACAACTAAAAGCAAATAAAAGTATTTGAAATTAAATAATATTTTTGTCTTATTAAGTTTTGTATGTTACAATTCAAGGCTGATTTTCAGGTAGAGGGGGTCCAATTAAAAAATAAAAATAAAAAACATGAGTTGCTTTCCTCAAAGTCTTGGGCTTTTTTTAACTAATAACTTTTAATTAAACTGAATGCGATTGAATTTCTAGAGTTTTCATAAAATTATTTGGGGGGGGGTAATAAATATAAATTAGAATTTTAGAATTAAAAAAAAAACATATTTATAATAATTCCCATCATCTGTGAATAGTTTATGAAAGTTTCATTAACATCCGACAATTATTTTTATTTTAGCAAGATTTTTCAATTTTATGTCTGTCATACAAAAAAAACGTGCTAAAAATTGTCTATGTTATTTTACTAGTTCCGGTGATAACAAAAAGAAACGAGTTTTTTTTAATCAAAATCTAGAATGTCCTAAAAAGAAGGAAAAAATTTTTGGTCTTTCCTCTTAATAATAACATAAACATTTAGGCATTTGGCGTCTTTTTCATCATGCTATGCTCTTTGTTTTTTTAGCGATCTCATGGAGGTACCTACTTAAATTTATATTTTTCAATTTAAATTTGAACTTGTTCAAATTAAAGAAAGCAAACGAAAACAATCATAACATTACCTTTTTGTTAGGAGGACAAGTGCAGACTGTGTGCCTTGTTTAGCAATTTTCTTTATTGCACTTTACAGCACTTATCAGATAAAATTTAATTTGAAGCAAGAAAACAAACAGAAAAGGAAATAGTTTTACTTCTGACCTAAAAATGGAAATCAGCGGAAAAGCAAACATGTTTGAAATTAACCGTTTAACGCCAGTCACTTAAATATAAAATGATGTAGATTAAAGAAGTTTTTTTTTTATTTTCAAATAATTAAGTTTTTTCAAATAATTAATTTTATAAAATAAAAAAATATTAATTATTTTTACAATTAAAACAAATACCGGTCAATATTTCATAAACAATAACAAGAACACGCATTGAAAACGGTATAAACTTAAATAATAAACATCAAATAATAAACATAATAATATAAACAATAATATATATAATATTATATAATATATATAAATAATAATAATAATAAACATCAAATAATAAACATTAAAATGAAGAATTTTCTCGGCTTTATGGTATTTTATTGATAATTAAAATTAGTCTATTTTTTCTACTGAAAATAACAAATCCATAATTCCGTAACAGAGAAAAAAGAAGCGATCTTTTATCCCTGTCAATTACCTCTGTCGAAAATTCCTTACGACTCAAAGGATAAATCAGAAGCCGGTCCGGTAGAGTAAGTGTGTCGAAACACTGCCTAGTCTCGCGGCCCAAATTTTAATCAGGGATCAATTAATAATGAGAGAAAAAGAGAACCCCGAAACGACTCTATTCTCATAAAGTCTTCTCACCAAAAAAAAGAGGAGGAGGGAGGGAAGACAGGTCTTAAGTAACAAAGTGGCAGACCTGTGCATCCGGTAAAAAAATTACAAAAACCAGTGCTCGGAGCGGCCACGCTTTGAAAATAAGTCATTGCAAACACTCCGCCTCCCACGCCTGACCGAAACCCAAAACACGTAGGTAATTTCACTTATTTTTCCACATGCTCTCGAGAAACAAGAAAAAAATTAAAAGAAGGAAAATTACAGACGCATCTCAATTCTCCCCGAAGGACGCAGAACAATCCGAACTAAACACCATCACAGGTAAGGCTGACCGTAAACCTGATTGGGTGCCAGGCTGTTGTCACAGGCTACCTGGAGGCGACAGTAGTTCGGGGTATACACATTCCGTCCTCTAGTTTTTGCTATACTGTTGAGTACAATTCAGGTCCGACCACTTATCACAGAGGTAGCAACCAATCATGTACATATCTCCCTGAGGAACGTTGCCGACAGGACAGGGCCAAACCATTGTCTCGACTCCGGAAGGGGTGTCGGATTGGACATCATTCACAGGAGTCCCAGAAAAGATAGTGGGTAGAGAATCAATTCCCGATTCACCTTCGACATCTGGAGAGTTGCAAGAGGTACAGATGCCTCAAGGAGTAGATATGCACAGGGCCACCCCCACCCCACTGCTTGATGCGAGCAGACCTGACGACATCATCACCCCGCCCCAAACAGCTCCAAAACAGTTCCCAGGATCCCAAATGGTCTACGTTTGAGGGGGGTTTGACAAGAACCATGTCATTAATTTTTAGTCGGTTTCCGTGAGACCTCTCCCCGTGGTTCAGGATGTACTGATTGTACCAAATGCGTTGAAACTGGTCCGACCAATTATTACACAGCTCCATAGATTTAATCAACCTTCTCTGACTGGGAGGAACAACAGAAGAAATATCACCTCTTCCTATGTGTAGCAACAATCCGGGTTTTTTATTTGGTCTGGAACATGTTAGGTGTTACTGCTTCCAATTCCCTGCAAACTCACGTTATGTTAGAGAACAGTTGTTCACTGCCCTCTAAATATCCGATATGATCATCAGGAATGAGAAATAGTTTAACTTGCCTCTGCCGATAACCTTGTTGTTGTGTCGGAAACCTACCACCCTCTTGAAGATGAACTTGTCTGCGTCTGTGAACAAAGACTTTAAATAGTGACATGTCAGTTGACATGGGGAAGACAGATAGACAGAGAAGTTCTTAGCTGAGCTAGTTATTGACTACTCAGGCGATTTCTGTACCTTTTTACCAACCTATTAAAACCCTTTTTATTGTCACGTGTTATTTGGCGTTTGTCTCTAACCCCAGATCAACATCATAACACTTGTATAGGCAAGCCTTTAAGGTCTGGATACTTCTTTCCCAAGTACTCCCAAACCAAGGAGAAAAGAGGAGAATGGTATTCAGTCTAATGTTGCACGTGCCAAATTTCTCTTGGTACTCGTGGTAAAGAGAAAGGCGGCCCAATAACTTACCACTGCCCAGAAAGGTCTTGACATTGTCGCTGTACAGGGCGGAAGATATGCCGTAGAGGTTGGTAAACTGTACCAGGGCTTGAAAGAAGGACAAGACGCTCATGTCAGGCGCCACTTTTATATGAACCGCTCGGACACGCAGGCAGGTGAAGAGCAGTAAATACATCTTCTTTTCTGTAATTCCCTCCTGTGAAGTCGATAGCAGTATTCCTGAAGGGAACCTTAAATTCTACGCACGGAATGGGCGGGCTGGCAACATTGGGAGGAGCACAGGTCTTACATTGATATACCTGCACAAGGCGCATGATACCAGAACCTTCTTGATGGCCTGTCTACCTTGGGAAGCCCAGTATCCACTGCGTCTTAACTCAGTCACTGTCGACCTAACTCCTAAGTGTGAGCATCTCAAGTGACAATCCATAATGATTAACTTTGAGATGGGGTGATTTTTTCACAGCAAGATGTTTTTTTTTATATCGTAGCTAAAATGGGAAAACCTAATTATTCTATCACTGAAAGGGATCAACCCATCCCAATCAAGGAAGAGATCTAGTGCCCTGACCAGATGAGGCTACGACTTCCCGGGGAGGGGGGATCCAATAAGCTTGACACTGAAGGAGCTTCAAATATATCACGGCCTTCCTTTCGTAGTCCGCTTCAAGTCCTCGCATTCTACTAATAAATTTGAATACGAAGGTCGCAACTCTCAACAGACGCGCAAATCCCGAAAAGCGATCCAGAGCGATGACGGAAGGATATTCCTTCTCAAGAACGACGGTTGGCTGCATCTGCTGAGGCAAGGTAATTCCTGGGCTGGCCAATGAGCCCTACCTCCACTCAACCAAGGTGGTCCATAGCACCAAAATTTAAGGTCAGATTTAAACCGCCTCAATGACAATCCTCTAGTAATGAGGTCTACTGAATTTTTTGATTCTGAAGGAGGGTGCGAGGCCAAACGGGGTCTCCAATTCGCCTCTCATTTTGGAGAACATCACTATTCCTAGCAAAAATATTCTTGCTAGCCATAGACCGAGAGAGAGTCTTGCGTCCATTGCCATGTACAATTTGAAAGGCAGCTGTTCAAGATAACAGGCAAACACTTCAGATACAGATACACTGCCATCTGCTTCAGGGTAGGAAGAGTCTTACTCTTTAAGGAGCAACCTTAGCCTTTGCAAAGATCAATTCCGAGCGATGGTTGTAAAAGACATAAGCGGTAAACCCATATGCCTCTGTCGAGACATCACAGAATACGAACAAGTCTCCAGTCTGGCCTTCTCCGAGTGCCCACCTGTCAAAGTGAATGAGAGGTCGTGCGTGAATAAGAGGTCCTTCAGAGGTGCTGCGCGAGACTCCACCACTGAGACTGGAATTCCTCCGAGTCCTGCTCATCCCACCCCAATTCTCTCTTCCTGTTATAATACCTATTCTATTGTAATAGACTCTCGCACAGATAATAAGTAGTAGTAGTAGTCGCCAGTTGGGCCCAGTTGAGTGAGTCTGTCAGACATTGAAGTACCAACCATGACAACTAGATTGCTGCGTCATTAACTCTTATTTCAAGTTCCTAACGTTTTGTACGTCGAACCTAATTTAGGACGATTATTGAAATACAAGCCTCCACTGTGAAAACTACTCTACAACACTTCCCCAATCCCCAACAAGAACCCGACTCCGCAAGGTCACGGGGAGACAGAGAGACAAGGGGTCGAACAATTTAGCCGCGTCGGAAAGGATCTGTCACTTGGTCGAAGCATCGGGATTGCATGAAATGGGAACTAAACAATTTTTATCCAAGACGGAACAATACCGGTAACCCAACACCTCCTCCCACTCACTACCGTGAGTACTTAAGGTATCATCGAGGCTCATCTTATACTTGATGTCGGGGCACTTAGTGCTACAAGACCCCTCAAACCCACCCACCCCTGCAGTCGCTCCCTGGAAAGGGAACACAGTTCAAGCAGCCTTACAGTATCTTCCTCAGTCATTAGTAAGTTGTCCACATAAAAATGATTCTTCATCATTGACCGACATGGGTCAAAGGGAAATCGGGCAGCATAGTACTTCAGTATACAACTCAGTATGAAGGGGCTGAAGGTGAACCCCAAGATAATGGTGGTATTTCGGGAGCAGGACAGTCGGTTCCCGTTCTTAAGAAAGAAGCAGAATCGGTTCTTGTCAGCCTCCAATTCACGGCGAACCATCAAAAAGGTCTTCTTGATGTTGGCCACCAGGGCATAATCATACTTTCGGAAAGAGAGCAGCAATTTCAGCATATCACCCGTCATATTCACTCCTGAATAAGCAGCCTCATTCAATGAGACATAACTGCCAGTCTTTTAGCTGCAGTTAATTACCGGTTGCATTTTGGTTGTAGATGTGGAGTCTTCATGACGGGCCGATGTGCGATTCAATTATAGTTCTTAAAACGATGAGGAGGAACAAGGATCTCTTCGATGATGCCACCTCGTTCCTGCTGGCGAAGTAGCTCCAAATATTCCTGATAAATTCCATTCTTCTCCAAGTCTTGCGCTACACGATCCAAAATGCGCAAGGATACTGCGTGGTTTGAAGGAACCTGAGCCAGTTTCTCTGTATACCAAGGCAACTGTACATAATACTTATTGCCCGTCAGGACAATAGATTCCTGAAACTGTCTTACCTGTTTCCTGGTCGTAATCCGAAAAACTTTCAACGCTGAACATTAGTTCCAGCCCCGGCTGCATTTGACTGTCAGGAAAGAAATCCCCAAGGGGATCCGCATGTTCCTTTGGACTTCAACGCAAAACAGAGTTGAAAAGATTTCACCGGGCAGTGGAATTGAGCACTGGACGGAAGCCAGCGATTGGTCAGTCGGGTAAAAGGATTCCACCTCTCCGAAGAGAACAAGCCTTGCCGGAACGGAAAAGGCCCAACCCTGGAAACAGGGTAGTAATTGCAAGGGTCCGAAGTACCGAACAAGATCAAGCCAGGCAATCAATTTCCCTTAATAAGAAGTCATTTAATAGCTTCGCCGGTCTCCTGTAAAATGGATGGCAATAGTGGTATCCTCCTTCCACATAATTGAATCACCTCTCTTCACCGCTCTAGGAAAATTAATGAAAAGTAATTTCGCCATAAGGCGACTGCGGCTGAAAGATCGTCGAAGTCGCAAGCAAAGGAGCTTCCCAGCTCACCAAGAGTCGCTGATCTGGATAAGAATTTTCTCATGTCCTAATAGGATCTCTCACATTTGGGATAGTAGTCAGTTATGTCCTGGAACACTTGGTCGATGATTTCATCCACGTTCAGTGAATTCAGTTTTGAGAATTTTGAGATCGATTTGGTAATTCCTGTTGACCACTTTCAAATGGTTGATCAACATCAAGGGTCTGTCAGAGAGGGAACACTTTAAGAAATTCAGCTTCTCTGTGCCATTAACCATGCATGCCACACAGTTCTCGAAGCGAGACAAGAAGTTTCGGAAGCGCATGCGGTCTCTGTCCATATCCAGACTGTTGAAGGTGGGCCTCCCTTGCAGAGGTTTGGCAGCAAAGTACACACCTCTGCCAGATGGAAAATCAGGAAAACCTAGTGAGTCTGACCTAGAGAGAAATAGAGATTGGGCAGTGTCAAGTTCCTCCAGCTCCCTATGAATCGCCAATTGGCGAGACAGAAATCCGTTTCTATCTTCTCCCGTTCGCTTTCGGATGAGGAAGAGAGCTCTAATTTGCTCATGCAGATCTCGATCTCCATCACATATTCCTGTATTTTGCCCCGAAATACAGAGAATATACGAATGGTAACATCCTCTCCACGTGACACTGTAAATGATTGATCCTGGTTGGATGTGTCGCATAATCAAGGGGACAAGTGTATGGGCATCCCTGGCTTCTTCTCCTCCGCAATCAGACGTAAGTGGTACCAGAAACGTCTTCTTCGTCTTATTCCGCCAAATAGCCAGACCGTTCACAATAGACGTCCCCGGTTATATTTTCGTTTTGAGATAACTGCTTCGTCGATTTCTACCTCGACACCGGGTCCACCCAAATTCCCCTGCACATTTTCTAGCCAAAATTGGCACACGTCACTGCAGAAGGAGCGCCAATTCACTGAAGTGACTTTCGCAATGTCCAAATTTTCGAACATTATCCTGTGGCACCAGCTAAGATCAAGGTGTTACAAAAAGTAGCACTTTCCACGCAGGCAAGCGTGACTTCTCCAAAAGTGTATTTTTCCTATCACCAACACTGAAGCCACATTCTGTTTTCCGGCTGTTAGGACTGGAGACAGGTTTTCTGCAACACCATACTTTCAGGTTGGCACGCAACGAGCAAGGTGAATGGCATTGAGGGCATTCCACGGAAGACGGTTTGTGGTCCCCAGTCATGATACGGACATCTGTCAGCAGGGTTGACGCCAGTCTATTTGCTCATCCGAATACTATTCACATCCTCATCTACACTACACGCTACCGCAGAAATGTCGAATTGCACAAATTGTTCCATCACTATGTACGAAGCAATTCAACGCTTTCGAATGAATGAAGAGGCTTCAGTAGAATTTCTTCGACTACACCAAAATATCCACACGCAAACGATTGAAAGAATGTGGAGGACGACTAAGGGTATAATTAAAAGATCGGGACAAAGAATTGCTTATTTAAAACAATATATTGCGTTTTCCTGATAGAGGCGAACAGATTGTATCCAGGACCCTAAAACTACTTCATTATAGACATCTTTAATTTTCATGTATATTTGTAAGTGAAGTATTTCCTTTATAGCATTTTTCTAAAATTGTCAATGCCATTTTTTCCATAGATATAAAACTTTTAACTTCCTTTTTTACAATTGAATTAATTATTGTTTTATTTTAAATTTTAAATATTAAAAAAATGCTTTACTGTACTATTTACTTTGTTATTGTTTTATTTGTCGATATTTTCATACATTTGAAAGTTAACTTTCTTCTTAAATAATTACTTTATTATTCTTTTATTTGTCGATATTTTCATATACTTGAAAGTTAACTTTCTTCTTAAATTAAGTACAAAAAATCCCTTTTTTACGTGTTTATATATCTAAATATACGTACAGTCTTATCTAAATGACTAAAATGAATTCAGAGCCCATACAAAATTAATGTATTACGAATCACATTTTTTTAGTATTAAGTCATTTGTATATTTGTGTCCGTGTATATATTCATGTGTACTCATGCATATATTGGTATATTTGTTGTCAACCTCCTTGTCGATCCCAGCATTCGATGTGATGGCATATTCAAGATAAGTAAAACGATGGACTGCCTTCAGCTCGGTTGCACCAATGATGATGTGGGCAGGGCGATGCTCATCCCGAGGCGCAGGATGGTAGAGTACATCTGTCTTCTTTAAATTGACTTCAAGCCCCAAAAGCTTAGCAGCCTTTGTGAAGCAGGAAGTGGTCCGCTGCAAAACCCTTTCTGTGTGGGCAGCATCGTCAGCAAAGATAAGTTGCCCCAGTGTCTTGTCTGGGCTTTTAATCGTCGTAGGCCACCATCGAGACGGTATCTGATGTAGACTCCGTCCTCATTATCAAGATCTTTCGTGTTTTGTATTGAGCATCATACTGAAGAAGATAGTGAAGAGAGTTGGTACCAGAACGCAAGCCCGCTTTACACCGTTGGTAATCGTGAAGGGCTTTAAGAGATCGTCGTTGTGTCTAACTTGGTCACTCTGGGAGAACTTTGAAGGGAAACGAAGTCGACCCATGATCGGCCACATTCTTCTGCTTACTGTGTCGAATGCTTTCGTCAGATCAAT